TTATATTATGAATATCGATGAATCAAAATAAATTCGTTGAAATATATCGATCGAAGTAATGATTGGCCAAATAAAATGATGCGATCATGGTGAAAGAATTTACTAGAGAAACATGACGTTTCTGGATCTACAATCTGAACACATAAAGGTGTATATTTATACGAAATGAAAATGGAAAAAGTAAAGTCGTAATATGAAATGTACGATTCTTTACATAATGAATTTCGTGAAGATTTGTATAAATAAATAAATTATCACGTGATGGATGTAATCACAAGTCTCTATTTCATTAGCTTGACAATACATGAAATTTGATATGCATGTAATAAATGTGATTATAGAAAATTTATGATTTTGATACTATTTTGCAAAGATTTATTATGCTTGAAACATAATTCAAGTGATATTATCACGAGGGGAGTAAATACGTGTTGTACTCTTTTTTTCTTTACCGAAGTTTTGTCCCATTAGGTTTTCCTAACAAGGTTTTTAATTAAACAACTCTTGTAGCACACTAAAAAAAATGATGTACTCTTTTTCTTTCATTAGGATTTTTCCCACGGGTTTTTCCTAATAAGGTTTTAACGAGGTATATTATTTGTGTGATTAATGTCCAAAACCTAAAAAACATTTACCCTCAAAATAATATTATAATATATATGAGACTCTTAAGAGCTCAACAAAACTGCTGATTATGTGAAAAATGAGTTTGAGGTGAAAGATTTGGGAACAATCAAATTTTGTCTCGAGTTGCAGATTGAACATTTTTAAGCAGGATTATTTGTTCATCAATCTACATATACAGAAAAATTCTTAAAACGCTTTTATATGGATAATACACATCCATTGACATCATATATGGTTGTTCGATCGTTTGATGTAAAAAAAGATCATTTTCGACTACTTGAAGATGGAGAAAAGATTTTTTATCCTAAAGTATCATATCTTAGTGCAATTGGAGTATTAACTTATCTTGCAAATTGTACTAGACACGACATAGCTTTTTCTGTAAATCTCATTGCAAGATATATCTCTGCACCAATACAAAGACATTGGAATGATATTACACATATTTTTTGTTACCTAAAGGGTACTATTGATTTGAGATTATTTTATTCTCAAAAGTCGGGATCTGCTTTGGTTGGATATGCAGATGCGGTTATCTCTCTGACCCACCTAAACCTAAATCACAAATAGGATACATGTTTACACGTGGATGAACAGTTATATCATGGAGATCTGTGAAGCAATCATTGACAGCAACATCCTCGAATCATTATGAACTTATTGCAATCCATGAAGCAGGCTGAGAATGTGTATGGTTGAGGAACATGACCTATTATATCCAAACATCATGCAGATTAATTTCAACAAAAGATAGTCTAACAATTTTGTATGAAAATAATGTTGTGTGTATTGCACAACTCAAAGGAGGTTATATCAAAGGTGACATGAAGAAACACATTTTTCCAAAATTCTTTCATATACACGGGTTTCAGAAAAATGGCGATATCAATATTCAATAAATTCGTTCAAGTGACAATGTGACTAATTTATTTACAAAAGCACTGTCAAGATCTAAATTCAAAAAATTTATTCACAAGATTGAAAGGCATCGACTCAAATATTTTCAGTAATCAACATCGGAGGGAGTAACTATACTCTTTTTCCTTCGCTTAGGTTTTATCCCACTGAATTTTCCTAACAATGTTTTAATGAGGCAACATTTATATTTAATACTCCAAAATAACTGTACTCTTTTTCCTTCGTTTGATTTTTTGTCTCATTAAATTTTTATCAAACAAAATTTTAACGAGACAGCTATTGTATAAATAATCATCAAAGGGAGAGTGTTGTAAAATAATGAGATAATTATTAATGATTATGTAGTATTATCATAATATATAGATAAGTCTTATCTAGTTTAGAAAATCTATTTCATTTCAATTGTAACTTTTATTTTAAACCCTATAGATACTGATCTTAATTTTCAATAAAATACACAAGTTCATTGACTTCTCTTATCCTCTCTTCTTGTGACAATATATATATATATATTGTGAATGTGAGTAGTGGGTCCCTATTTATATTATTATGATATTTGAAAACTTTTCAAAAATTATATATTGTGGAGGTCAGTAGTGGGTCCCTATTTAGATTGAGGTTTGGATTTGTCGGCCCGACCCAACAAGAAACAGAGAGAGGGAGAGAGCTAAAAGTCCGCAGAATCAGTAAGCAAGAAAACAGAGTGAGAGATTTTGAAAGAAAGAAGATAAAAATGGGCGTGGATTATTATAAAATTCTTCAGGTGGACCGCAATGCCAAAGACGATGACCTGAAAAAAGCCTATCGAAAACTTGCCATGAAATGGCACCCCGACAAAAACCCTAACAACAAGAAAGATGCCGAAGCCAAGTTCAAACAAATCTCCGAAGCCTACGACGTATGTATACCCTAAACACACAATTAAGTTCATATATTTACTGCCCACAAGAAAAAAGGGCAATTTTTTTTTTTTTAAAGAATTGATTTTTTTTTTGGGATAATTGCAGGTATTGAGTGATCCACAGAAGAGGGCAGTTTATGATCAGTACGGAGAAGAAGGATTAAAGGGGCAGGTGCCACCGCCTGGTGCGGGTGGATTTAATGCCGGGTCTGATGGAGGGGGCCCGACTATGTTCCGTTTTAACCCTCGCAGTGCAGATGACATATTTTCTGAGTTTTTCGGGTTCTCGAGCCCGTTTGGAGGAATGGGGGATATGGGAAGCGGGTCACGGGCTGGGGGATCGGGTTTCCCAAGGAGTATGTTTGGGGATGATATATTTGCTTCATTTAGGAATGCTGCAGGAGGGGAAGGAGGTTTGGGTGGCATGCCGCGTAAGGCGGCTGCAATTGAGAGGAATTTGCCGTGCAGTTTGGAGGATTTGTATAAGGGGACTACAAAGAAGATGAAGATTTCGAGGGATGTTATGGATGCAAGTGGGTAAGCCTCTGTCATCGTACCATGTTTTAAATATAAAAATATTAGATGTATAGATAGTTGGCATGTATAATAGTTGAATGATAGTCAGGTTGATAGAAAGGAACAATCTTGATTGAGGGGGTAGTGTCAACACAGTTATATTAACACTATACCTTGGTTGGATTCTATTTTCGGAAAACAAGCTTTTCGATTAAGAGATGTCATATAAAGTGAAATTCCGAACTGGTTGTCTAAGTGGAGACTTGTATAGTTATTATGGAACATAAGTACTTGTCTAATTGTTTTACCATAAGAATAGCTTGTAAAGAATATGTCCAACTTGGAAAACTCAAATATTCATTTTCTTCTAAAGTTGCCCTAGATACAAGCTTTCTTCATTGTCTGATGAATGTGGATCACTCCCTTAGAGAGCTTTCCATTGTAATATAGAAGAAGCTTAGTCATTCTCTCTTGACTGCTTTTGTTCACTAAAATTGAGTTGAAATGTTTGACATTATAGAATTGGCAAGTTTATTGTGATCTGAAATTTGTTTTTTCCCATTGGCAAGGAGAGTTACAAAAGCTTATGGTCTTACTACCTCCATCGCAAAATAAAATCCCTCTTTTCGTCATTGGACTGTGTCAATATTCTTCCCAAAACGACCCTTGTTAATGCATTGGATAAATTTGACACCTGTACCATTGCCAACCGCCCTAAAATATTTTAGCACCATTCCCTTCCTCTTCATTTCCATGAGTTCCTCTCTCAGTACTCAGCCCGCTACGACTGTGTCACCACTACCTTCTTGCTCTTGTATCCAACCTCTTCTTAGTGTTAAGACTTTGGATTCTATATTAAAAAGTCAACCTTATTAAAAAAGTAGCATAAACTCTTATATGTTGGTCTATATTTAGATAAATATCTGACGTGGGATTTATCGCTTAACATGTTGCCGGAAGATGGTGACTCGTTTGAGTAAACTAATTGTTCTCGTTTTTTAGTTTTAATCGAATCAAATTTCTCGTTAGAGTTTAATAGGCTATGATACCATATTAAAATTCGAAGTTCCATCTTAAAAGATTAATCTTATTAAGAGGAGTAACACGTGTTCTTATAGATTGTTCTATATTTTGGTAATTATCAGATGTGGGATTTCCCTTAACACCGAGTAACGTACTCCTTGACAGCCACACCACAGGAAAGGTCCAAGTGACTAAGTTCTCTCAAGCCCCATGACAATTGCACTCTCTCCTCTTTCAACATCTTCATACTGAAAGAACCACTGGAAACACTTCCTACAGCCTCACCGCCACTGATCCCTATTCTAATATGCCTGACCACCACAGTCCTGTCTCTCTTTAAGTGAGGATATACTTGACAGCACTTGAAGATTTGTTGGAAATAAGTTAGAAAAGCATTCAAATTTTGGGTTTGGGGCTCTGCTCTAGATCAGTGGAAATGACTATAGGTTGTCTGAAATTCCTATGTTTCTTTCAAGCTTAATTTTAGAGTTGTTTTTTATGATTTTTAAGTGAGCAATAACAATATGAGATCTACAATGGGAATGGTGGAGGATCTTTTTCTAGAGAAACAATTTTATCATCCTTTGCGTTGGAAGGATAGGCTAAAAAGTCGATACATCCAAGTTTCTTCTATTTCTTTCGGTTTGTAGTTATTCGTATTGGGTCCTAAATCAGGAACAATAATCTGAAGTTGGTCAGATATACGTCTTATCTATTTACATGGGAACCAATTTCGGCATCCTTCATTTTCTGATGGTGAATTAGTGATTGATGGACTTTTGCACTTGAATCTCTTCTACACCGTCCGGAGGTTTGGTTTCATTTTTGTGTTTGATAGACCTTGAGAAGAAGAAATGGCAATGAATGAGCAAGATAATTACAAGAATTATGGAGATTGCTCTAGTGGTCGTTCCTGTCCAAATTGTGATAGTTGTGTGGAGAGTGGATCTAAGGGGTTGTGACCTGTGTGAGAGAATAATGGCGGACAAGGTTCACATTTATTTTGTGATAGCAGATTCTTTACCTTTTGTTCTAATATTTTAATTTGATTGCAAGGGTATAAATGACAAAACATGCAGTCAAACACTAACCTGGAAAAAGTCAGTTGAAGTTAAACGAGAGTCGGTATGAAAGGTGGGGAAGAGTATTTATGGTTCCCTGTACATACCCTAATTTTAATGGAATAATGAGCTAAGTAAAATACGTTTATTTGTGTACCTTAGTGTTAGAATTATATGATATATATATAACATTAAGTTATTTCTCCAATATTATGTTTTCTGTTGCCATGTGAAACACAATGTTTGTATACAACCAATTCTTACAGTTCATCAACTTGTTCTGTATCTGTCGCTTCTTCAACAAATCAGGTTTCTAGAGGAGCTACAGGGAAATAGTTCTTCTGAATGGTTGTAGACTTGAAGTCAAACTCCTATTTGCATTTTGGTGCCCATAAAGGACACCTCATATGCACGATTGTGCTTTATAAAGTGTTTGTTTATTGAAGAATTTTGTTGGAAGTTATAAATTGTAGGACATACTTCCAAATACTACATGTAAGTCTATTATCTTGAGGATCAACCCTCAAGATAATTTCTTTACTCCACTTTTTCTTCTTTAAGATGACTTGGAGAAATTATTATTTTTTCATGCAATTATTTATTTATTTATTACCAAATTGTTATGAACTGTTGTGACTGAAAAGATGACGTCGCGGTAAGATGATTCATTAACTTGTATGCTCTAAATTTTCAATATGGGACAAGGAAGGGGCACTGTTAGTCACACTACTTAAGAGAACTTCACTCTATGGCCTATGCTTGAGGTTTGAACTAGCCTTCATAAATTTTGGCAACCTAGCTGATGTAGAAAGCTAGAAAGAGATGAGAACATGAGAATTTCAGGAGAGGAGTCTGGAGAGAGAAATTTCAATAAATTTGAATACCATAAATCAACCTCAGGATTATTTAATTATAGTAATCCTATTCAAGAATGACAATATACTAAAATGAAAATAGAAAATTTTCCTAAACTTAAGATTAAGCGCTTGTTTGGGCTCCATTAAAAATGGATTTTGGGAAAAAATGTATTTTGGAATACTTATTTTTTTGAATAATGTGTGGTTAAAAAGTAAGGAAAACTTTTTGGTTTATGTGTAATATTATTTTTTACGAAAATGTGTGGTTGAAAATATCAGAGAAAATTGCATTTTTTAAAAATGGGACCTAAACAGGGGCTAATATTATTACTAGAAAATAAATTATTACTCGCATTCTAAATTTATGCTTAAATAAGGTTGTGTTTGGTACACCGAATTAGACCGAAAAAGAAATGAAGTATAAAATTAGAGTAGAAATACTATGTAGATAGTATTAGGGTGGATTAGTGGATAGTAGTTTTTAGTTTTTTGTTCAAAAGAATGTAATTTGCATTACCTTTTTTATGTTGACCGGATAACATAGTGTGGAACAAGGAGGTTGGTTTAGGGCGGATAAGAAATATAGTATAAATTAGCATTCTTTTGAACGAAAAAACTCTTAAATATTATCCACTTTAATCCTCCATCCCAACGCTATATACCTAGTAATATCTCCTGTAATTTATGCACAATTATTTCTTGTAAGGTCTAGTCATGTGTGCCAACCATAGCCTAAAAACATGTTTGGGAAGTGTTTAGAAATGTTTTAAACTATAAATAGATAAAAATAAGTTGTGGATAAACATGTAGTACTTGAGAGTCTCTCAAAATGTGTGAATAACAACGACTTGAGTGTTTATAAACATAAGTCAAACATAAGCTAAGTGCGCATTTCTGGAATCTAATCTCCTTCAGGAAAGCAATCTGCGTTGTTTTACTTGGGTTGAAAGGAACTTGACTAGCAACCTATGCTACAAAAATATTGTCGGATTAATAGCAGAAAACACCCCTAAAATGTTTCCAATTGCGATATACCCTATACTTGTTGAAAATCGTAGAATACTCTCCTATTTGAAACATTTTGTACAAAAACCCCCTTGCCGTCAACTTCCATCAGATTTTCTGTTAAAAATAGTAAAAAATGCCAAAATTAAAAAGAAGTAATTGCAATTTCAATGCCCCAACTTTATTTTATTATTATTATTTTACAAATGAAATCCAAATTTTTTATATGTGCCCCCTACCATCCCAAATCTTTAAAACTTTATTTTCCATCCCACCCACCCACCTCACCCCACCCCACTTTTTATGTATTTTATTCTTCCCGAATGCCAAAGACGGACTTCCAGCTTTAGTAGAAAAAAATTTGGCTCCATTCAACAAGGTGACATAAAGAAATGGTCACTCCAAAATTCCTAACCCCAAAATATTTTCAAGACAATGAAGAACTCAATGTATAAAATGGAAAATAATCTATGGATTATCTTACCTTTTTCTGATCCATTGGTAGCTGGCCATTAGGCATATTCATTGGCAAATTCAAGAAAGGAAGCCCAGAAGATGGATTAGAAAATTGCTTGCCAACACCTCCTCCACCACCACTAGACGGCTGTGGTGGCTGCATCTGGACCACCTCCTTTTCCTCCAAGGGCACGTTAGTGAACAAGGCCGCAGGATAATGAGGAGTCCTGAAGCAACCAAAGCACCCACAACATTTACTCCAACAACCCGACCTTGCCAACCTAACAAATATATCGAAAATGTTGGGTGGGCCCCACTAGACTATGGAAGGGAGGCGACCGCAATCACTAGCTGAACGGAGGAGGGAGTCTTTAGCGGTGAAGAATTGGAAATTTTCTCTTCATATTTTTGGCGCTTCTTCCTTGAAAATTAATGACTGTTCATCTTCTTCTTGTTCTTCTTCTTGGTGGGTATTGTTCAAATCTTTGGTGGAGGAGGGAGGTTTGGATTGAAAATGGAAGAAACAGTTGATTTTGGGTTGGGCATGGGCGATACGAGGGGGGTTTGAGAGAGGAGTATAAATGGGGGAAGAATTTTGTAGGTTTTTTTGTTTGGTTTGGGGTTAGGTGGGAGTGAGAGTGGGGTGGAAGATAAGTTTTAAAGGTTTGGGAATATGAGTTGTATAAATAAAAGATTTTAGTGTAATTTACAAAAAAATAAGAAAGTTTAGGATCACAACTGTAATTAGTACTTCTTAATTTTTGCAATTTTTACTTTTTTAATGGTTAAACTAACGGAATTGGATGGTGGGGGGGTTTTCGCACAAAAGGTTTCAAAAGGGGAGGTTTTCTGCAACTTCCAATAGGTGGTATATCGCAATTGGAAACGTTTTTAGGGGGGTTTTCTGCTATTAATCCAAATATTGTCCCAATTAGTTTGTCTCCCACATTAAGAAAATGTCCCTCACTAGGAATGCAATCTCGAATATTTCACCTAGGTTGAAAGTAACCCAACTCTGGCAAGCTATGCTACAAATAGTGTTCCACTGAGTTTGTCTCCTTTTTATTTTGGAATGCCCCATAATAAATGACACTGTTCCAGAAAGTAGACAAATTCATTTTTTGGATATAAACCTTTAGTAATTTAGCCACAAAACTAAAATGGGAAATCTGTCTATTAATTGACTCGTCTATGTGCTTTAACTATTGCTATCTTTTTCACCTATGCCTCCCACCAATGTGTTGCCTGCAGCGCATGGTCGTAGAGAATCAAATGGAGACCTGTGGAAACTGGAAAGTGTTTGAAAGTCTAATTGGCGAATTGAGACGGGAAGTTATAACATTTGATGGAGATTCCCTCCAACATAGTGAACATTGAACAAGAGAAGGCTGTTGTTTTACTCCTGTAGGGCACCTAAACACAATGGCAGCCAGATACATCCATACTTCTTTTTATCTTTTTATGGGTTGGGGGAATGGGGGCGCATGGGGAGTGTTCAGTTGATTGGCCTAGATACTGCACGAACCTGAATTAATGTATAAGAAAAAAGCTTGATTCTGTATATCAATGGTTAAATCCTTCAAAAAAGTTATCGAGTTTGCGCTCTACGTAAGATCCAGATTCAAATAAATAGGTGATTTGAGGTCCACTAATATCTATTGGATATAATTCTTAAACTTCTACGTGGCTCAGCAAAATTTTAAATGACCTTGAATATCTGATGTAGAACGCCTCAGAAGAAAAAGCCAAGTTTAGCATGACCAATTTATAGTGTGCGTGTATGTAGATGTGTAAATATCTTCCTCGTTAATGCTCATTTAAACTAATGGTTCATTTTTTCAATATTGTCGTTCTTTGCTTGTATGCATAATTCCATGTCAGGACCGTAGGTTTTTGATTGAGTATATACCATTGTTATATGTTTTTATAATTCTTCTGGTGGCAGGAGGCCCTCCACTATGGAGGAAATTCTTACAATTGAGATTAAGCCCGGGTGGAAGAAGGGAACAAAAATAACTTTTCCTGAGAAAGGAAATGAAATGCGAGGTTATATACCTTCAGACCTAGTTTTCATCATTGATGAGAAGCCTCACAGCATTTTCAAGAGGGATGGGAATGATCTAATTGTCACCCAGAAAATCTCTCTGGTAGAAGCTCTGACGGGATATACAGCACAAGTGACTACGCTTGATGGACGGAATCTATCAATACCTATCAACTCCATCGTTAGTCCCACCTATGAAGAAGTCGTCAAAGGGGAAGGGATGCCCATCCCAAAGGAGCCCGGCAAAAAGGGTAATTTACGAATCAAGTTCAACATTAAGTTCCCTAGCAGGCTTACATCAGAGCAGAAAACGGGCATTAAGCGATTGTTAACATCTTCATGAAGACTACTCTTTGCAATACTCATGTAAGCTACTCTTTGCACTACTCATGTAAGCTTGGATTTGTTTTCTGCCTTTCGTCTTGTTATGGGATAGAAATTGCATGGGGGATGATCCAGCTTTTGGCATTATTTTAAATGTTAATTATTTTACATCTCTCTCTCTCTCTCCCAAACGCTGGTAATCCTTTTCTTATCGAGTCTGCTTGGGTGAAATTTTATTGCTTGACAATCATGAGACGATTGACACCTTAAACTTCGAGTTCTACTCGAATTTATTCTTGTGTAAACAATGAAAAGAGGGATTTCTTGGTTTATTACAGAGGCAAAAATCATAGTGATTTTGTGAAATAGTTGTCACGTAATTGTCAAATGAAAATATCTAAAAGTGCCTTCTTATCTTTCACCTTGGATGTGTTAGTTTCACTAACGAGATGTAAGCAGGGTGACTCATATGAAGGATTAATATTGTAAGTAAATCGAACTTTAGGGTTTTAATTGTGACAAAAATTATATGAGTGACCCAATTGAAATTTTCATGAAAGTTTGTTTAAGTCAGTTCATCAAAAGAAAGTTTGGGTAAATTCGTCAGAGTCCCAAACCTTTCATAAGTGTGGTAGTCATGTCTCCATCCTTCTATTTTGGCACGTACATCCTCGACCTTTTACCACTATATGTGCAATATACCACCCCACCTATAATATCTATTTAGTCATTAAATGACATGAACATGATGTGTGAAAGGGTAAAATCGTCTTCATCCCTCTAAGGATAGCAAGAGAGAGAGAGAGAGAGAGAGAGAGCTAGCCGAGGAAGAAGAGGGGGAGATTCGCGAGGTTTTCTGATTGGGAGAATAAGATATACGCTTGTTTTTCCTCATGAGTGAGCGGTCAAACGGATTTATTTGCAGTTATGGACATTCACAGTTCCGAGCTAAATAAAGCAGAACTAAGATCAAATGAGGAAAAAGAAAGAAAGATGGAACTAGATTTTCGTTCATTATTACACTCATGCTCGCTTGCGCTCTCTCTATCTCTCTCATCGCATCCTTATTCTGAACTTTTCAATAATTAATATATTTCATCATCGATGATAGATTTCATTCATAGCGCATTTTAAAACGAGTGACAAATATTATATCAAACTTTTGTATTTTTTTTTTTTTTAATTCTGCGAGGATTTGCGATAAGGCGCTGTTTGACAAAAACTTGTTAATGCAATTTTAATCCACGTTTGAGTCACATTAAATTTTCATTTTCATTTTTCTATTCATTTTTAATTACATACTTTTCAATAAAATAATATTTTTATCACATCAATAAATTTTCCTTCTTTTTCAACCACACATTCTTCACGAGTGACAAAAATTACAAACATAAATGTGACAATGAACAAAGATGAAAAATATTTAATGCAATTAAAATACGGTGCAATAAGAAAAAGTTACGATGTTAAAGTAATTATTTTAAAACAAATTTTTTTTAAATAATTTTACCATTTTAATCAGACATCGCATGAAAGATACAGGAACATTTAACGTCGTGATCAAATGGTAATCGCACACACGTGGACATGACAACCACACGTGTGTAAGGTTAGGGACCTTAGAGAAATTTAGCCAAGAAGTTAGTTTGAGGGCCTTTTACTTATTTTGTCCTTGCAGTCCTTTTCAGAAAAGTTTCCAAATGGGTTTCAGAAAACGACGACGTTTAGTCGTATCTGCTTTCTAATCTCGAGTTAACATGCACACTCATTTACACCGTCTTCCGCAATTCCAATTAATACGATTCTTTGAATCTCCGTATGTAAATTGTTAATAATTACTCAATAAATTTTAGATCTCATAATTTTCTGCACTGAAATGGCTTCAATTCCTTCAAATCCTCGAACGGTAGAGGAGATCTTCAAAGATTACAGCGCTCGTCGTGCCGGGATCGTTCGTGCTTTAACTGACGGTACCTCCTTTTATATTCAACAGATTTTGCGCACAAAAATCTTTATTGAATATATATTTACACAAGTTCACAAAAACACGTGTCCGTACATGCAATTTAATTTATTTTAATATATGTTCTTAGTGTGGAATGGTGTTTTTACAGATGTAGATGAATTTTATGGGCTCTGTGATCCAGGTAATTTTTAACCAGTTTTGTGAAATATAGATTGAAGTAATTGTTCTTTACATCAAATTTTTGAGTTTCTGAATTGGACTAATTGGGTAATAGATATTGAAAGCTAGTAATTTCTTCACTGAAAAAAAAAACCTTGTAATTTCGTGTGTGTGTGTGTGTGTATTTTTTTTTTTTAATTATTTTTAAAAATTTTTGTAAACGATGATTGGTTAGCTTAAAGGTCGATTTAGCTGCTTTTTGGTTACTGATAAATGTAAAAGAAAACAGTTCGTAGTCTTTACCTTTGCTAATTGTTCTAATCGGTTTATTGTTCTGAAGTTGAATTTAGATCAAAACTATTTGGAAAAAAGTACAATTTTTAATTATTATCTTAATTAATTCTTGAATGAAGCTAATTTAGTTTTATGTTTCTTTCCCTTGACTTTATGCAACAAAGTTAATTTTATGATGCTAATTCTTTGTAAATGAAATTTAAATGTCAGATTTAAGTTTTTGGCTACTGCAATATTTTTCTTTTGGTACACATACACAATAAAGATAAAAGCATCCTAGATAGCTGTAGTTAGCATACATCCCTTCTCTAAGTTCAGTATTTTTGTGATCTGTGATTGTTAATTTCTCTTCCTTTTAAAAAAAAAAAAAATTTATTTTGGGACTTACTGCTTTTATAGAGAAGGAGAATTTGTGTCTATATGGACATTCAAATGAAACTTGGGAAGTCAATCTACCAGCGGAGGAAGTTCCGCCTGAGCTTCCTGAGCCGGCACTTGGGATCAATTTTGCAAGGGATGGCATGAATCGTAGAGATTGGCTTTCACTCATTGCTGTGCACAGTGACTGTTGGTTGCTCTCTGTGGCTTTCTATCTTGGCGCTCGGCTCAACCGAAATGAAAGGTACTTCTCATTTTTGTGATATTTATTCGCGTATTCTTGTTTGTTGATCTGTGGATGATGATTTTAGCTTATCTTTATAAATGCCATTTTTAACTGCTTGAGAATTTTTGTTCTAGTTGTTCTAAACTGTGTAGGATAGATATTGGTTGATTAGGTGCAACAACTACTGAAACTGACAATAAACAAAAAGCAACCATTCAAATGGATTTGCTTAGGTCAAGAAAATAACATTTATCCTAGTTAATGACAGAACTTGGGAAAGTGTAAGGATCCTCTTTTTTTCAAAAGTTTTACAACTCTGATTTATGTAAATGCCAAAATTCATATTACATTGAAAGTCGCGTAATATACATAATTGATGGGGTGAATGATTATTGGAGCTGTATCTACATAATGAGGGGCAGTATATTCAACCTGATCTGCATACGGCTACATGTGCTACAACTATCCTCTATTTTGCTCTCTCTAGTTGCTCTGACTCGCAAGTCTCATCAATTAAAGTTTTCTTATCCTAAGGAGAAGACAATACCTGTACCTAGAAATTGTTGGCTCATTCTTCAGCCATTTATTCTGGTGGAAATGTTGTATAATTAAACCAACATTTGATGGATGAAATTTAGCTTCCTGTTAAGTGGGTTTTACATATTTTAAACTTTAAATTTGTTGCTAGCGTTTGTGTTAGATAATCAGCCTGACACTTTCCCTTGTTCTGATTAAGTTTCCTCAATGTCTGGACTTTATCATATGTGAAAACTGAGTGGATGAAAGCTGAAAACGTGCAGCATCTTGGGTATTATACGGCTTTGACTGATTGAATTTTTTATTTGAGATCTTATGTACTCCTTTTGTGAACAAGTCAAAGGTAGGCACACCACTTTGATCTGGAAAGTGCACGCTAGTCTTCATTCTTAATAATGATATGAATCTTGAAAGTAGTAATCTTGCCTTGAATTCTCCTTTCTTTGGAGTTTCCTATCCCTTGACTGGAAACCAAAGCTTTTGATTTAGTTTGAGGCAGAAAATATTGTTGCCAGTAACTTTGATCAACATGACGAGCATCAAAAGTGATCTGGTTCATGAAATTGAATATGTTTTCTTTGAGTCAAACCAATTTGCTGTAGCATAGAATATATATGCTGTGAATCTGTCTGGACTGCTTGTAAAACTTCAGAAAGTTGAAGAATTGAAATAATCTTAATGAATTAGAACACTAGGATTACATTGCCTTTCACCAATTCGCTGAGGCACGTATAGTTTGTTGATTGCACCAGAAATTATTAGTAGTTGCTGGTTTAGTTCCAGTCAAAACATTAAGCATCATCACTGAGCAGGCATACATCTTTACTGAGGCATGTACAAGGGTTGAATTGTTGAATTATGACCTCTTGACACCAGGTATTGGGGGCATGGAGGCGGATTTTGATTGGATTTAGATACACTGATAGGTGAATAACTGTCTAGTATGTTAAAATTTTGTGACAGATATTTATTTCCTTTCTCTTTTGCGGAGGTGTGTATGATGGGGGGCCCAAATTTGTTTGATCATATCGGTGCATTTTATTTTGATTGGTATAGTCCTTCACGGTGTACCAATGGCTTTTACTGTACTTACAGGAAGCGACTGTTCAGCTTGGTGAATGATCTGCCTACAGTCTTTGAAGTCGTGACTGAAAGGAAGCCAGTAAGAGAGAAGACCAATGCGGAAAGCGGAAATAAATCCCGTGGCAGTACAAAGGTAGGATAGACACAAAGTATAAGCTGTGTTATTATTATATAAATTCTTTCTTGGATTTTCGTATCCTTCCTGATATGAAAGCTAAAGTTGGATTAAAACATTTGTGAAAGTAATACTAGTGTAATTAGGATGTGTAGGCAATATCAGATATTGAAACAGGGCAAGCATATTACTGGAGGGTTGAGTTCTGCACACACACACCCTCCCCCCTTCTCCCCCACCTCAAATCTTCTTTGAACTAGCTACTAACTCTAGTTGCTCCTTGCCTTTCTCCTTTATTTATACCTTTGATTACCTTTGTATCTTGCTTTTTCTGGGCTTTACGTTTTTGTCCTTATTTGTAGAGATATAGTGATGGTCAAGCTAAAAGCAACCCAAAACTGGCGGATGAGAGTTACGAGGAGGATGAAGATGAACACAGTGAAACACTATGTGGTAGCTGTGGTGGAAATTACAGTGCAGATGAGTTCTGGATTGGCTGTGACATCTGTGAAAGGTGGTACCACGGGAAGTGCGTGAAGATAACTCCTGCAAAGGCTGAAAACATAAAGCAATACAAATGCCCGTCTTGCATTAAGCGAGGCAGACAGTAGTGGTTACTGAATCAAATTGGTTTAGAGGGCGTTTGGTTGCCCTTTTTTGCTCATTATTAGAAGAAATATAGCCGTTCCAAAATGAAAGTTGTAAAGTTAAAAAAAGGGGAATAAGTGGGGCTCATAAACGGTAACATTTCTTCTAAAATGAGGTGAAAAATGGCAAACAAACAGGCTCTAAGTGGATAATGATATTACATTTCTAATGTTTGTAGTGGATATCTCTCCTGTTTGTTTATAACGGATGATTGCAAAGAAGGATGTTTGGTTTCATATCGAATGTTATGGCTAATGTATTTTTCTTTTCTAAACGGAGACTTTCTATTATGTGCTACATTCTAAAAGGATGTGTAATCTACAAAATCGTAAGACCATTTTTTTCATATTTCTTCTACTAATCAATTGTTTCTTAGGTTTAAATATGACCTGTATTAGATTTCTCGCGGCCAAATATAATTATGTATATGTTTGGCTTCCATTAAATTATAATTTCTCTCTCTCTCTCTCTCTCTTCTTATCAATTGTTTATTAGGTTTAAGTATGCCCTGTATTAGATTTCTCGCGGCCAAATATAATTATGTATACGTTTGGCTTCCATTAAATTATAATTTATCTCTCTCTCGTCTTATCAATCACACATTTTCTAAAAATAATATTACAAGTAAATCCAAAAAAATTTCCTTCTTTTTTAACAACACGTTCTTCAAAAAATTATTATTCCTCTCATTATAATGTGGAATACTGCCTGAGTGGGTATATATCCCAGTAAAATAACTTATATGTATGTACATGTATTTTTCTATTTTACGTCTTCTAACCTGGTCGAGGGTACGCTGTGCATAACCTATTACTCGTCCTTAATGCCTACAAAGAAGGGCACGATAATCCCCTCACCGAACATATGCATTCAAGATGAAGCTGGTTTACAACAGAATTATCAAATTTCCTATTTCAACTTGTCATCAAGAAATACTTCTAATCAGATGTACTTGACTCGTCCATGATCCTTAAAAGCCACTGGTAAATTGGAAGCACATCTAATGAAAGGAAACCCGCAAATAATGAAAAGAAATCAAGTGTGCAACACATTATCAATGCCTCTGACACTTTATACTGATAAATGAAAAGATGAACTCGTGTATATTTACTCACACAGGTTAATAGAACCATCTTTCATCAACTTTATGCTTAGACTATTGAATCTCCCTCTTGAGTAATGCCGAGAAGCCTTTCTCCAGTCTGTCCCCGTTTTCATCATAGCAACAAATTCATCATAACTGATTCTTCCATCCTGCGTTCATAATTGAATGATTGAGAATATGTTCATACACTTCATCAATTCAATGCTCAGGAATTTGTTCTCACCTTGTCTATGTCGACCTCCTGGAATATGTCCTTTGCTACATTTGCACTATCATCTACACCGTCCTCCATTAAGGCATCTTGAAGCTCATCAGGCTCGATATAACCATTGCCATCTTTGTCAAAATAGGAAAAAGCCTTGTGAAGATGCTCATCATTGGCCATCCTCTGTAGATGGAGTGAAATGGCAAGAAATTCTCCATAGTCCATTGTTCCTTTACCATTCATGTCTACCTGTGGCAATATAGTGACTTGAGAAAACAGGAGCAATCAAAGCAGCTCTTACATCAAATATTGAGGGTACATTCAACCAGATTCGTAATTTGAACCAAACTTTCATTGAAATCAATCAGATCCAGGTCCAGGCTTCGAACTGATCTGTCCACAGCCACCATCTAATACTCATTCTAAAAAGATGGAAGCATCTCATCAGATTGGCCAGTAATTATGTGATATACTCCGCGTGATACTTTGAGAATTTAATACACTGGTATCTGTTGCGGGGACAGTTATGGAGTACTGCTATACAAGTATTTAGGCATGAAGCAAGACATCATGTTTAAATATATGTCCAAGCAGACAATATAGAATGTAGGTGGGGTGGGGTGTGCATACGGGGCAACAGTTAAACTGTATGGGGCAAAGCATGTGAAGGAATTCAATACTGTGTATTTTCTTTTTTGTTCTCTTGTTAATTTGGAAACAAGTAAGAGATATAATTCCTATACTACAACTAAAGCTTACGCAATCAACAATATTCTTTATCTTCCTTTTTCTCTTCAATTCTCTCTTCATTTCAGTCACCCTTCCTATTCTTCAGGAAAATTTTTAAAAAAATGAAAAGGAGAACTGAATCCTTTTTCCTTACTAACACCATATCCCCTTGAAAAAAAAATTGCTCAGAATTTAGTGGCTGTAAAGAATATGTGAAACCTCAAGCTCACATCATGAGAACTCTCTAAACATCGGTTAAACAAAATGGAATACTTATAAATAAAACAAGTGTTTACATGTGTCAACAATACAAGGCAGACTGTATACTCACAGCTTCGATAAGCATTTGTACTTCAGACTCTGCCAGCTGTGAATTGAACTTCTGTAATCCAACCTTCAGTTCTTCGGTTGAAACAATACCATCATTGTCAGCGTCTATCTTAGCAAACATTTCTTTTATGCCTTCGACTTCTTCATTGGACAAGAAATCAGCAATGACCTAATCATAGAAAAAAGTTCAAATGTTTTTCTGAAGCACCTTCATTGGAGAAAAGAAAAAAAGAAATTATAAAAATAAACCAACCCTCAGAGCCTTCCTCTTGAACCTATTCATCAAAGCGAATTGCTTGAGTCTTGACTTGACAACATCTCCAAGAGGCACATTTGGAGCCTTCTTTGCATTTTGAAGCCAAGGATGTTCTGTAAACAGAAACAATTAGCCATTAGGTCAAACATAAGAAAAATCAATGAAATGTTCTTCAAATATGATAATAAGTTTCAAGGAAATCTGCATCAATATCATTTTAGAACAGACAATTGATTGGGGCTTCCTCGCTGCCTCCAACAATAGCAGTCTGACTCAGAATGCTCAACAACCAACTTTATAGTAATTTTACTTTTTCTTCTTTATTAATCTCAAATGTTTTTCTTTCTGGTTAGAGGAAATATAAAACAAAGACTGTAAAAGGTTCCTCTTGTAGGATATATTGGACTTAGCTGCCCCATGATCAAATCCATACTATATTGCAGCATGAGTTACCATACCCAATTGGGGAAGGAAGTATAGGATCATTTCTCTTACAATAAACAAAGAGCAAGGAATCTAAGATGGGTACTGGAATTTCGGATTTCGAAAGCAATATCTTAACCAAAGTATAGTAAGAATAAATTCTCCTAGAAAGAACAAATTTATGCATGCATTTTTATCTATATCAATTACCAAGAAACACAAACCTTAAAATACCTCAAAAGTGACATCATATGTGGACCTGAAAACTATTACCCATCCTCAGATATTATCTGGTACATCTACTCCACTCAATCCTAACATCGCAAAGATCATTTTTTTCTTTATGGAGCATGGTTCTCATGGCAACTTGTTTGATAGTTATCGTAATCAACTAATAACAAGCTAGATACTTTGTTCACCACGAAATTTTAAATAATTCGATATTTCAACATTTTCTTCCAAATTGAATTTTCTATGGAGCAAAATCAATTATAAATGCATAGAGAGACACAAATCTAGAGCAAAAGAATTATTGACAAATATTGAAATGATAATTTAAAAAATAGAAAGCATTTCAAGATTCAAGAAAGAAGGTAACCAAGCAAAAAAGTTTAGAGAATGGTGATTCTCTCAACAAAATAGATTTAAAGCATAATCAAAATGTGTTTTACATATTCATCAAACAACTTCACAAACGTGAACAATATTTTACCAAGAACTTGTTTTGCAGTGACAGCTTCGAATCCTAGACCGAGGTTGTAAACAGCATGTTCTGAGAACCGTGATAGACTTTACGAACCGGTACCAAGGGAAAGTTTCAGATAAAAGGGTGCATATTACCGAACTCGTTGTGGAACAAGTCTAAGACACGTTTTGCTTGCTTTAGACAGGTGATCAATCATGGTTGAAAACATGATTTAAAGAAAATGGAAAACTGTAACATCATTCAGAGAAGCTGGTCTGAACTGATTTCAAAACACGTGATTTCAAATGAAATATAAAGCATTATAGGTGTAATGCATACAGTCCTAACATTGCAAACTCTAAAAAACTGGAAGGCAGATGGAAACTGTAAAGCAAGTGTTTGCCTGCATGAGAACAAGAAGCTTGCCACAGAGAGAGAGAGAGAAGAGAGAGAGAGAGAGAGAGAGAGGAAATTCAAATTACCAGCCCAAAATGGAGGAACTCCACACAACAAGATATAGAGAATCACTCCAGCACTCCATATATCTATTTCTGGTCCATAGTTTCGCTTGAGCACTTCTGGAGCCATATAGTAAGGACTTCCCACAATTTCAGAGAACTTCTCACCTAGAATTTCAAGAGTTAAACCACTTTCTCATTAACATATACATCAAGATCATCAAACAGATACAACATGTTTAGATCTAAAAAAGAAATTAGAAGGTGCTTGGTTTGATATATATGCACATACACGGAAAAGAAGCCATCGCACATTTTTCAAAGCAAAAATTGCATAACTATGGAGTACCAGGTATGAATTTTTTCCTTCATATATGCTGCCTAAATTTCAATATCAACAAGCTACCAATTTATTAACCTAGTGTTAAAACCCATTTCCAAGCTAAGTTCCAACCGATATGCCATTGATATAGTCTCTCTTACTTGTAACAAAATAACAATGTGGGACAATGTTTATTTCCTTTTTCACACCTTTCCTCACATTGATCTGGGCTGACGTCTGAGCTCAAGGAACAAATTTTACAGCACTGAGGCAGACCAGAGACAAATGCAAATGGCATGAAGACAGCAAAGAGCCAAACCAAAACCAAAATCAATGTTACCCAAAATTATTTTGTGGCATATCCCATCTTACTTCTCAACCATTCTAGAACTGTATCGAGCAACATTTTAGACAAGGTCTTTTGTCTTTCTTCATTGTTCACACTTTGTAATTCTAACAGAAGTTCTGAAGGATCAAAGTTAAAAAAGAGTAGAATCCTAAACAGTAGAAGTTCTTCTAATTCCATTTTTCTTTTCTACAGAAATGGTCTGTTGCTTCTCATCAATGCCAGTGAGCAGGTCAGCTGGCCAGGTAATGTGGGTTGTAGGGATCAGAATCACTCAAGGAAATTCTAAGCATAACTTGATTTAGGTGTTACTGTTGCGTCCAGTGATAGTCCAATCATCATCTACTGGTTCCTTTGGTAAGTAAGTTGCAAATGGCTAACATGTACAAAATTAACTCACTCAATTCTCCAAGCAATCAGTTTTTTGAAAACATGTACGTACAACTCCTACACTTCAATTTATGCCACTCTTAAAATTATAATGTAATACCACTACAACTGTACTGTGTTTATGTCAAACCATCAAACATTTGTTCAATTATATTTTTATCGAGGATAATGATTTTGAATAAACTTCACATCATTTCATTCTCACTGGACAGCTTGCCCTTTAAAAGAAACTAAATCAAGTAAAAATGAGTAGTTAAAATAACAGAAACCAATCCCGTGAAGTAAGAGCTTCAAGCACTTATAGACAACTTACAGGATCTTCAGAGAATCCAAGTAATGCAAGTACAAGAGATTCAACATAGACAGGAAGGGGAAGAAGATGATTTATTGATTAGTGCATTTAAAAATACATCATTGATGCATTCATGAATCTCAATTAACATAACATACTTTTCATGATTTTGAACATGAAACAAATAATTTGCTGGCAATAATTCACAGGACTTTCCAACTTCCCACCATCACTTTTGCACTACTCGATATACTGTAAGCAGTTCAGATTTATCTAACCTAGCCCAGTCAAGACCACTTGTTTATAATGAAACTAAACATCGTAAAGATTAATATTTGGCAGAAGTGCATTTGACATATCAATTCCGATCTCAAATCCTGTGACACAAAAAGTGAATGTTTATTTAGCCAAATAAGTTAATATCATTCCAGTAGTCATCAGTCCAAATTCTACATGTTTGCAAAAGCTGGCATTACAAAGTATATTGTGGATATGTCATAACTTTTTCAATGATGGCATTTGAGTTCAAGATATGATTCCATGGCATCATGGAATTTATTGTGGATTTGAAACAAACTAATGATAGAGACAGATACCCAAAAAAAAAATTACCCCCCAGGCTGTCGATTATAAGGGAGCACACTTTTGAGAAGTAAAAATGACTACATTTATATTAATCATTTCCTGATTAGCAATGAACACAAGGAAATAATTTTCCAATTGAATTAGAAAACCCAAGACTCAAAACCGTGGTAGTAATATCATCTACATCAACCAATTATAATAGGACTAAGCTGTAATCAGATAAGCTTTGAGGCAGTGGGTATAGACTGAAGCGGAAAAATAAGAACTCAAGGGGAAACTTCGATGCGACCTATAGTAATAGAGATATTTTTACTACTATCCTCACTGGATCTCCTCATGACTGTTTATTATACACATGCAAACTAATACTTGGCTCCTATCATTGCTTTAGTACCTTAGTTAATCCTATTCGTATCCTATTTTACCTAGCATATAATCTAATAATATTAATAGACTCTTCCCAGGACATAAGTCAATCCAACATAATCCTACTCTAACATCACAGTTTCCTTCATAGGACATTGCAATTGCTTGAGTCCCCTATCTAACTTTAATACAATGTATTTGTATTCCTTCATTCAATCAACCGAGTCAATGAACTCATAACCAAGCATTTCACTCACTCTTCATTAACGCATACACTCAAGTGATGGCTAAAAAATCTCAACACGTTTCTGTTTAATCATAAAATCCTAAAACTACCAAAATCCTTGCCATTTCAATCAATCACCTTCGATGGAGTTTTAGGTTGACTGTCAAGCACCAGGAACAAATTCATTTCATCCTTCCCTAGTTCTGACATAATAAATCCGAGTTTCCCAAAAAGGATAATTGTCTTCACCTAAGTATGACACTCGTTCATCAGTAATGCAGTCCCACCAACTTCTTCCATGTCCCCCTGATTCTGGACAAAACCACATACACCAGAAACAAATTCATTTCATCCTTCCCCAATTCTGATACAATAAGTCCAAGTTTCCCAAAAAAGATAGTTGTCTTCATCTAAGTATGACACTCATTCATTGGTAATGCAGTCCTGCCAACTTCTTCCATGTCCCTCTGATTTTGGACCAAAACCACATATCTTTGCTCTTCCTTTAATATTTCCCATCATCTTCATGATCCATCACCACATTTCAGAGAAAGAAAAAAAAAAATTCTAATTAATTTTATTTTATCAAATATCTTGGTTCCTCTCATGTTGCATTTGATAAGCATCGTGTTGACCATGTAAGCTATTTTCAGGAAAGATCAACAGTTTAACTGCAGTTGACGTATTGATATATTCGTGGAGATCAAGGTTACACTATGTTCACCCTTTTGGGTACTTCATAATAAGGTTTAAAAAAGCGAAACTAAGTATTGAGGCGATTTTTCTTTATGAGGCGAGGCATAAGTCTCGAGGCGGATTGAGGCGTAAACCTCACAAAAAATCTAAGTAAAAGAATTATAAAATAATACAAAAATATAAAAAAATAAAAGTTGGAGCATAGTAAATAGGATATATAGCCATTAGCATATTGAGATATAGTCTACCTAAAAGAAGCAGCTTAAACTAAATAAAAAAATAATAGTCTGCCCTATCATCACTATTACTAACATCGTTAATAGAATCATCATATCTAATTTCCCCATCATCTTCCTCTTTGCTACTCTTAATTTCTACAAAATCATCTTCATCTAGTTTTAGAGTTTATACAAACGATTGGATGAAATCGTGTGTTAATTATATAAATCAAAACATTTATAAAATTTATAATTTCCAGATGTGTATATGAAGCAACTAATTGCATGCAAGATTTACTGAACCCTAACAAGAAAAAGAAAAGAGAAAAAACATACATGTTGAATTGATGAAGAAGACGATACTCTTCTTGAATTCTGACTTTTGAATTTCTGTTGAATCTTTAAATGGTCCTCTAATTTCTGACTGCCGTTTAGTTTTCTAGGTATTTTATTGTTTTGTTTGGGGCCCAAAATGCTTTTTTAAATGGATTTTTTTTCTTTTTTTAAGAAGTGCCCTTTCTAATTTCTTTTCATACAATTGAAAAATCAATTTTTAAACGAGGCGCACACCTCATGCTCCATGAGGCGTGCACCTCAGATTTAGAGGCGTGAGCCTCGTATTTTTAGCATAAAAAATACCATCTTGAGGCATACTACATGCGCTTCACAGTGAGGCGGCTTCGCCTCACTACTGCCTTTTTATACCATGCTTCATAATGGGTTCACACAAAAATCCCACCCACCCCAACAGGAAAAAAAAATAATAAAAAAATAAAATAAAATCGAAGACATACAAAAGCTGATTCTTGATTCTGTTGGGAAAACTGTAAGGGGATTAGCGAAATCAACATAATTTCTCCAAGCTAGTCCACTTCAGGCCCATTTTTGACAAAGATATTCAAATATAAAATTATTTTCTACGTGATCTATTTGTAGTGGTGATAAGAACTTAAATAAAACTAGGAACTGTAAAAAACTATATCTGCAGATAAGTATAGCATTTATATACATAATACTCTAGCCTGAAAGAAGTAAACAGTTAAGTGCAATAACATCAAATAAATTCTTCCAATCAACCTTTTAGCTTCGTGAACATTATCCATAAGTCATTAAAATTATTCAATTACCGGGCTTAAAGAAGATTGACAAGCCAAAATCAATTGCCTTCAGAGGCGAATTCTCCTTCTTATTTGCAAATAAAAAATTCTCAGGCTTCAGGTCCCTGTGGATCACCCCGTGCTTGTGGCAGAGCTGCACAACCTCAACGATGGTCCTAGTGACTGCAGCGGCCGCCCGTTCCGTGTAGTGTCCACGCGCCACGATCCTGTCAAAGAGCTCCCCACCCTCGCACAACTCCATCACCAAATGTACCGCATTTTCGTCCTCGCACGCCTCCTTCAAGCTCACTATGCTCGAATCGTTAGGCAAGTGCTTCATAATCGCCACCTCCCTCCTCACATCCTCCACATCCACAGCCGTCCGCAGCTTCCGCTTCGAAATCGACTTGCAAGCCAATAGCTCCTTCGTCTCCCGTTCAATGCACAAATACGTAACCCCAAATTCTCCTCGTCCCAATTCCCTATCCACTAAATACTTCTCCTCAATATTTTTCTTTTTAACGTCGTTCAAAACAGTAATGGCCTTTTTAGTGTTGCCAGCCCCAGACTTGTCTTTACGGCCCTGATCATGGCCGGAAAAATTGGATGACTTCACGTCTTCTCGGGCAACAGCCGCCGGAGATCTGCAGCAATTTCCCATTCAAATCGAGTCCACTTTAACCAATTTCCGACTATATCAAAAAACCCTAACGCCTAAGTGGTAGCTAGGGTTTCACATCTGTGATGAGATGTAAAACCCAGACCTCCATTACGAATTTAAGATCAAAATGTGACTGATTTTTCACATAGAGTGTGTGTGAATGTGTGTTTTGTGCTGCAATTATACGAGGGTACGGTAACGGATCAGATGCATTTGTAGGGGTAGCTGCTCTTTTGATTATTTTATTAGTATTAAATTGCATTAAAAATGATGCATTTATTTTTGTGTGGATTTTGTAATATTTTGGTTCAAGCATGAATTTTGTCGGGTAACTGCAAGTTACTGGACGGTCGGAACGGGACGGGAAGAAGAGACAGCAGGGAGTCTCTGGGTTTATGACCTGGCAAACTACTCCTCACATTTATACGAAACTCACATTTTATAGTTACTTAAATTATAAGTGAAAAATCAACCAAACATGCACTAAGAACCAAGCCGAAACATTACGAAAGTGTATTTTTCATTGGGTCTTACAAGATCGCATGCCTTTTCCTTTCATAATTTCGTGTGAACGAGCAAAAAAGTATTGCAAAAATAAATTTGTTGTCGAAACAATCATAAATGATTATGCAAGATAGTCAAAACTAGGGAAACATGCTCTTTCCGTCATCAACATTTGTAATTCGTTACTGATATACCATCTTTCTTTTCTTTAGAACAAGATATTCTCAACCTTTTGAAAATATAGCAAAACTTATCTTTTTGTTGTTAAAGTCACATAAAATGATGAATTTTTCTCCTTTTTAAATAAATACAAAAAAAAAAAAAAAAACTAAA